GTTTTTCATTTGAGAGAGAGAGAGAGAATGCAGGTGGTGGAGAGGGGCAGAGGGAGACAAAGATCTTAAACAAGCTCCAAGCTCAGTGCAGACCCCAGCATGAGGCTCAAGTTCATGATCCTGGGATCATGACTTGAGCTGAAATCAAGAGTCAGATGTTCAACCGACTGAGCCACCCAGGCATCCTGAAAGTGGGTACATTCTAACCATTATTTTGGTTTTTGATATTATAAAATAATGCATGACATTTATGAAAAGTCTAATAATACAGAAACAGATATAACATGATAAGCTTCCCTATGTGACTCTCACTCAATTCTGTTCTCCTCTGTGGTAACCACTGGGAACAGTTCCATCTATTTACACATACACATGCGTGCACACACACACACACTCACAATGTACTTCAATTGTGCAGAATGTACACAATTTAACTTCAATGCAGTAATTCTGTACTCTTTGTTCACTTACCACACCCTGGTGATCTTTTCCAGCCAGTAAAGAGAGTTCTAACTTCATTTTTTGGGTCCACTTCCCGAACTCTATAATGTGACTATACCATGATTAAGGGACTGGATGGGCATTTCAGTAGTTTCTAATTTTTTGCTATTGCAAACAAACTTCAATGACTCTTAGACTTGAAAGAGAAGCATTACAGGGCATGACTCTTACTGCCAGCTGCCTTCCCTAAAGGACGAGCCAATGCAGGAGAATGCCCGTGTTTTCACGTGAGCACCATTCCTGGATTTTAAGCTAACTTTTAAATGTCATGGCATTGAGGGATGAATAAAAACAATATTCCTATTCAATTTGCATTTTCCTGAATATCAGGAAAAGTTAGCACGTTTTCAGAAGTTTGCGGTCATTTGTGTTTATTGGTCTATGAATTGCCTGTGCATTTCTTTTTAAGCTTTTAGTGTAATTCTGGTTAGTTAACATACAGTGTTATCTGAATTTCAGGTGTACAATAGAGGGATTCAACAATTCCGTACATCACTCAGTGCTCATCACAACAAGTGCGCTCCTTAATTCCAATCCGTACTTAACCCGTGTCCCCACCCCCCTCCCCTCCAGTGGCCATCAGTTCGTGTTCTATAGTTAAGAGTCTGTTTCTTGGTTTGTCTCTCCCTCTCTTTTTATCCCCCTTGCTCATTTGTTTGGTCTCTTAAATTCCCCTTTTGAGTGAAATCATGTGGTATCTGTCTTTCTTTGACTCATTTCACTTAACACTATACTCTGCAGATCCATCCGTGTGGTTGCAAATGGCTAGATTTCATTCCTTTTTATGACTGAATAATATTCCATTGTACAGATTGCCTCTGCATTTCTCTACCCATTCTTCCTACCGCCTTACTCAAATTGGTTTGGAGAAATGCTATCAAGTAAGGCTGATTATCAACTCTGTATGTGAAAATATTTTCTCCTACTCTATTGTGTGTCATTTTACTTTGCTTATGATATTTCGTTGCTGTACAAACTTACGTTATTTATGTAGTCAAAGGAACGAATGATGGTGTTTCCTTGTCTCGCCCCAAATTACGAAATGATTGTCCTATATTTGATTTCAAGTCATTGTTTTGTTTATACATCAAGACTCTTATTCCATCTGGATGCCCCATGTCCTATTTCCATTGTCTGGGTTTGTTTACTGAATTGGAGCCACACAGGATTTCCACTGAGCAGAATGACCCCTCTGCAATGCCTTCCCCAGGTGCGTTTTAGGCTAAGGCGTCTTTTGCTGCGGTTTCCAGAAATGGAATCCATCTGCTTACCAAGCTCTAGTTAGTCCTCACCACCAGTCCCTTCCTTTTTTTAAGTACTATTATGTTCCTATTCACATTTTTATGTCTTCCCTTTCATTTCAATGGAATCTTGGAAGAAAATAGGCTGTAAGTGCATCTACTGAGTGCGCCATCTTGAGTGGAAATGCCTGTATATATATGCTCTAAGCAACATGTTTATTGGGAAACACAAATACGTTCATAATGGAAAATCTGGTAAATACAACAAGACACAAAGAAAAAATTCACTGTTTAAAATTACACTATGCTTTTTAAACTAATATTGTGCACAGTATTTTCCTATATGCTTAAAAAACATGATTTTATTTTAAAAATGGCTGTGAGTGCTCCGTTTGTGCATATTTGTTAGAAACGAAATGAGCAGTTTGCTTTTTATTGACATACTTATTTCCAGGAAGGGTAATACATGATTCAATATAGTCAAATGTCTCCTTTCCAACCCAAGACTCCCTTCCTGGAGTTAACAAATGATACTTGATTATTTTGGAAATATAAAGTCCCATTGGTGGAATTGGGTGAGAAGCTATTTACCTTTCTAGCTCTTGAAACATATTGGATCTCCAGCAATGTATAAATTATATCACCCACTTATGAAGACTGGCTCTTTTTCCTAATATTTGTTATTTTGGGGAGTTTGGGGCTTTTTTAAAGTTTATTTATGTATTTTGAGAGAGAGAGAAAGAAGGGAAGGGGCAGAGAGGGAGAGCCAGAATCACAAGCAGGCTCCATGCCATCAGCAAAGGAGCCCGATGCAGGGCTCGAACTCATGAACTGTGAGATCATGACCTGAGCCGACATCAAGAGTCAGATGCCTAACTAACTGAGCCCCCCAGGTGTCCCTGATATTTGTAATTTTGAAAGGCAAGGAACATTTTAATATTCATTTCACAAAGGATGAAATTAGAGCATGTTCTCATATATTCATCAGCCTAGTCTACATCTTTCATCATTAAACAGGCTTTTCCTAGCCTTTGCCACAAAGGACCTTTTAAAAATACTTTCTCACCTTTCAGGATGATAGTCAGTGCAGTGAGTTTCTCCCCACATCAAGTAACACTGGGGTCTTCTCCAAACACAAGGTCCTCCACTTCCTTTAATTAAGACACCATAAGTGAAACCGCCCATGGCTTTACACTCATATTTTGTTTTAATGAGATTTCTAATAATGCTCGAGATTTCTTTCCTGAGGTTTACTTGGAACTTTCACCAGAAAGAAGAGCGACAGCCCAGAATTTTGCCCGGAGAAAACATGAAGAGTACGTAGGTGGGTGTCTTCCACTGGCTGCCCATCTGATTTCCCACGGGCAGGAGTTGCGAGCTGTCGGGGTCAGAGTCCACTGCCACTTCCTGGTGTCGCTCACCTCCGCGTTCGCCCAGTCTTTCCCCGAAACCTGGAAGGCCCTTCCAGCTACCTCTCCTCTTCCAGGCTGGACCCTATTATACACACGCCAGGCACAAGGTGTGTATATCTATTGTTAGAATACAAAAAAAAAAAAAAAAAACCATCAGCCTTGAAAATTCCCTGAGCAGACAAAGCCAGTGTCATTGCACAAGCAAAATCTTATTTCAGCTTATGTTGTAAGACTAACTTGACCTGGGTTATTTCCTGCCTACACCTCTGACAAAACTGTTTCCCAAGGTTGGTGTGTGGTAACCACTGACCCATTTTCCTAACATTTAAGATTCCAGTTTTCTAATCAATCACAGGGAGGAATGAAGTCACTGCGTTCTCACTTATATAAGCTGCTTTAATAGGAGGCTCATTCCACGTTTTGGTCTGAGTGCTCCCAGTGTGCAAACTTCCCGGTGTGTGCACAATAAACTTTGACTAAGTCTTAGTTCACTGATTCGCTGGTTTTATGCCTGTTATTTCTGAACTTTTGACACTATCATCCGTACACGCATGGTTCATGAGTGAGTCTCCTCATCGCTCCCAAAAGCTCTGCCGTTCTCCAGAGCCCGACCCGGAGCCCTGCACAGCACATACCCTCCTGCAACGATTGCTGAGATGAAACCCTGCCCCACTCACTCTCAGGCAGCACAGCTATGCAAACACTTTGCACAGCTCACCACAGCCTACAGGACACAAGTAACCTCCTGAGCACTGAAATGACATTCAAGGCTTTTCCCTGCACCTGTTTTTTCAGGCTTCTACAACCTAGCGTTCCGTCTCACAGCCACGCAAGGAAAACTGTGCAGTTCTTCCCGTGCCCAATTGGCTAAACCTGCTCTCTCCTTTGAGCCTTCACCTCTTCTGTGTGTCCTGCCCAAGCCTGGGTGAACTCCAAATGCAGGCTTACCCTGACTCCCCTGTTCTCCTTCAACGCCCCATAATTTATTATTTCAGCTTTTTATGCTACCCAACAAACTCCACCCTCTACAGTAAAACAGCAGTGATTTGGGCTTAGAGCAGCTATATTTGCGCTATATTAGATACATTATCTAATGTTAACTGAACATCTTTTTTTCCTCCACGCTGGTAACATTGCTATATCTTCTAGACCTGTGTACACAGAGGCGTTCAATAAAGAATGCTTGGGCCAGAGTACACTGTCGACTGTTTTCTCAACGTCATCTCCTTAGAACAAACTTCGCCCTCTGCTAGTACCTGGCCTCTGGCCAGCGCCGCACCCACTCCTTCCAAGGGACTCTCCCACACCCATACTCCTTAGAGCCACAGGTCCGGAGAAGCTGTTGGCCCTGATGCAGGAGTCAGATTCTGGGGGAGAACTCCGCATCTGCGCCCCGTTCTGCGAGGTGCAGAGACCTTACCTGGCTCCCTGCGGGCAAACCGTCCCCCGTCCAAGGGCTGACTTCTGCACCCCCCTCCTTTCGGTTCTTTACTGCAAGGGTTCCCACCCTCGGGGCTGTTCTTTGGAAACACTTGGGGAATTTTTTCTGTGCTGATACCTGGGCCCCTTCCAACCCAGGGATTCGGACTTAATAACGCAGGCTGCAGCCTGGATATGGGAATATTTCAACAGTCAGGGATGATTCTTCGAAATCCCGGCGCGCGCGTCCAGCCCCAGCGACTAAATGGCTAAACTTGGCCGCTAGGGAGGGAAGAAGGCCGGCAGGCAGGCAGGCGCGCGGGCCCACGTGGCCTGCGGGGCCCCGGGCGGCTCCACCCAGCGCGCGGGTGGCGGACGTGGCCTTTGCCTCCCGCCAGCTGCGGGAATAAACCCCGGCGCCTCCGCGGCCACCAGCCAGTGGGGCGGCGCGCGTAGCAGAGGGCGGACGGCTTCTCGGCGCACAGCGACGGCGGCGTGTCCCGGGTGAGTTGCCCAAGTCCCGACCCGGGCCGCGCCGGACCTCCACGGGACGTGGCTCCGCGCTCGCCCGCCCACCCGCGGTGGGGGGGGGGGGGAGGGTGGTCTGGTGCGGGTGGGGGTGGGGGAAGGGCGCGTGGGCAGGTGAGCGGGGCCAGGCTGCCGGGGGTGAGCCGGAGAGGGTGTTGCTCTGTCCCCGAAGCCCAGACTCGCACTAAGTCGCGAGGTCCAGAAGGATGGGCTGCTAGCACCCCCTCCCCGTCCAGGAGCAGAGCTGCGATCCCTGCCTGGTCCCCTCTTCTGTCCCTGCTACCTGGGTGCGGCTACCTCCCCCTCCCCACCGCCCGCCCCCCATTCATCCCATACCTCCTACCCGGGCAGTTTGCTGCGCCCTGGTTGGGAAGAGGAAGACACCTGTTTACATCCTCCGAAGTCATGAAGCTGGCTTTTGTTGTTGCTGTTGTTTTTAATTTAAATAAGCTCTATATACCCAACCCGGGACTTGAACCGAGGACTCTGAGATCAAGAGTCCCGGGCTCTAACCAACCGAGCCAAACTGGCTCAGCGTTTGAACTAAGGAGTGCGGCCATAGAATGGCGACACCAACTATAACCCGGTTAAATTGAATATGCTCTGTAACTACGGAAGGCAGTCTTCACACTAAACCGGAACCTTACATTTCCTTTTGTTTGTCAGGACGCTTGCTACAACCGTCTGTTGGTGTCCTGACCAGGGATTGTCATTCACAGGCCGGCAGAAACATTGATCATAACTGCAGCCAACGCACATTGTGCTGCTGTTGGGTGCCTGGCCCTGTTCTAACAAAGCCTCCACATTCTGGGCATTAGGAGTGGAGGTGGGGATGATGAATAACCTGGCAGGTGCTGAAATGCAGCCCAATCCCTTGTCTCATCCCCACCCTCGCCCTGGGCATCCCGGAGGCCAGCTGTGTGCAGGCAATGAGGACCTTTTTTTCTTTCCAGGTTGCTCAGAAATTTCATAAGGGATCATAGTGGCCGTGTTACACACCTTATCGCTTTACCTGTCTTGCGTCTTTTAACTTCCACCGCTCCCCCATGGATGCATACCGTGGAATTCCCTTATTTAGAAGAGGAAACTGAGGCACAAGAGTTAAAGTAACTTTTACCAAGGTTGCAGAGAAGTCAGTGGCAGATCGAGAATTCCAACGCAAACTTTAATCTCTGCATCTCCCTACCTGTGCCATGCTCTTAAGGACCTAGTGGGCATCTACCGGGGCAGCAGTAAGCGGTAAGACCTCGCTCTAGGTCTTACGTCATGCCCACATTGAGACAGTACAGCGTTGAAGTCTAGAGCTGTGGCATTGAGAACCTTCCCCCAGGTCAACGGTGAGTCTTCCTCTGCCCTTCTGCATGGGTTTACACAGTGGTGTGCCTGAGGGGGCATGGATAAGCTGGCGTGAGTTTTCTCACGGACGAAGTGTTGATAGTGCTTGGGCTGCAGCCAGGGGAGGGTGCCCAGGGTGCCCCATTACCGCGGGGGAGTCTGACCCTCATCGTTGCAGGTCTCCAGGCACGCGCCCCGCGAGTGAGCTTAAAAGGAGAGTGTGGAGACCACTGTTTGCCCTTCAGGGCGCCTTCCTTTCAAATTCCGCAGGGCTCGAGAAGCCCAGTCAGTCATCCAAAAGAGACTATGTGAAAAGAAATCTGAACAAGGGTGGCAGAGAGTTTGAGGGCCATTTCATCCCAAGTAGGGGGAAACCAGTGCTCGGCAACAGAGAACTCTCTGTCCAGGACATCCATGCCCCCTCTGGGCAGCGTTCCAGATCTCTGGTCAGTGTTAGACACAGGCCCAACCTACCTCAAGCCTCAACTCTTCCTTCCCTCTGTTGGTCAAGCTACTCCCAGACCTCTATACCCCTAACCATTCATCATTTGACCACTTGCTCAGATGTCACCTTCCAGCAAATCTCTCCTGTTGCTGCTTCCACAGTACCCAGGCTAAATCAGATCCCCGGTCTACTCTCTATAATAGCAACCGGGAGTTCTTCATGTGTTTGTTCAATGTCTGTTTCTTCAACTAGTCCCTTGGCTCATGATGGCACAGATCGTGGGAGGCTGCCCACCCCCTCAGCCCCGTTGTCCAGCACAACATCAGTGCTCATTACTGAATAAAAAATGCACTCAGCTGGCCCCGTACTGACCAGCACTGGGGCCTTGGGTAAAACCACATACCTCTTCTTTCTGACCTTTAGCCCTATCTGTGCAATGAGGCAAGAAACAGCATTGTAGGTCATAACAGTTTCCTAAGGGTCTCCCCATGCTCCAGGCCCTGCTGTTGATGAATCTATCCACCCATCGTTCTGAGTCGTGACTAGTCTATCCTCCACCAAACTGCAAAGTAGGTGAAAACCTGCTGTTCATTAATGCCCTCTGTCCTCTGTGCCCCTTCTGTGCTTCTCAATTGGACACCCCATTCCGGGAATCTTCCCCCCCACACTGGGCACAGTATGCGTCTGCTAAACATGTCTTCTCATACTACAGGAGAGTTTCATAAAGCATCTTAGAAACTCATTCTCACTAAAGTGTGAGTGACTGATCACAGGATGTAAGCTGTAGCCCCGTACAAGTAAGAGGGCAGACCTTTTCTTCATTCAGCAAAACTATGGGGTGACTTCCTGGTGAAGTCTGCACTTCTGAACCTGAGAAACACGGCGACATTCTCAGAGCACATACTGTGAGCTAGCATTGCAGTCAGGCACACAATAGGCATTCTTATTTCATCGGCAAAACCACCCTGGGCCAAGGTGTTGCGGACGAAATGACACAAAGAACAAGACACACACAAAAGACAGACACAGACACAACTCCGGCTGGAGGAACAATTCTACGCAAGCGCCTCTTGAGGTTTATTTTATACCCCGGTAACTGGATACAAACTGAAATCTACAAGATGCATTCCTTTACCAATTAAGGGCAAGTAGCCAAACACATTTCAAGGACAGCGGGGAGCAAAGGGAGGAAGCGACCACAACATGTTTACTAAGAGGCCTGCCCACAACTCCAGCCTTCTCCTTACTTCTGAGGACGGCATGTTCCCTCGTTTGCGAGTGGAACATTAACCTTGGATATTGTGTGCAGGCCTCCTGGCAGAGCATCCTGTTTGCAGGCATGATCTGCCCAGGCAGGGAGCCCCGTGTGCAGGCACATCCCCGCGTCCCTAACCACGCTTTCTTGTGGTCACTGTCAGGCTCCCACACAAGGGACCTGTAGAAATGTGGAGACGGAGGCTCAATAGTCTGCACCCCGTTTCACAGGGAGGCAGGGGCAGGGCAGGGTGGGATGGCGAGCAGGTCTGCCTCTCACCTACATCCTGTAGTCCTGGCGCTGAGTGGTGAGTAAGGTGGAGGACTCGGGGTCTAGAGAAGGGGTGGCTCATGCTCCCCGTGACTCTGATAGAAAAGGTCTAGAAGAACATCAATTATTGCTTCTCAAGTATGTTCTGAAATGGGGTTTTATTTTTTTGCTTGAATCTCAGATTCTTTTTAATTCTTATACTTGAGCATAGTGGACACACAGTTACACTGTCAGGTGTGCCAGATGGGGGTGGGACGGGTCTGTATGTTAATGCTGTGCTCACCACGCCTGTAGCTACCGTGTGTCACCAGACACCGCCGTCACATTATTGTTGACTGCGTTCCCTGTGCTGTGCCTCCATGACTTCTTTATGCCATAACCGGAAGCCTGTGTCTCCCTCTCCCAGTTACTGTTTTCCCCATCCACCGACGCCCCTCCCTGCTGGCAACCACCAGGGTGTTCTCTGTATTTGTAGGTCTTCTTCTGTTTGTTCACTCTTTCCTTTTAGATCCCATGTATGTGGTGATATCACATGATATTTGTCCTTCTCCGTTTGACTCTTTTCACTTTGCATCACACCCTCTGGGTCCATCCATGTTGTCGCAAATGGCACACTCTCATACTTCGTTAAGGTTGCATCATTTTCCTCAGCGTGTGTATGCATGTGTGTGCGTGTGTGTGCGTGTGTGCGTGTGTGTGTGCCCCACATCTTCTTATCCACAGAATGTCAGATGTCATTTATTTTTTATTATAGTTTATTGTCAAGTTTGTTTCCATATAACACCCAGTGCTCATCCCCACCAGCGCCCTCCCCCATGCCCTTCACCCCCTTCCCCTCTCTCCACCCCCATCAGCCCTCAGTTTGTGCTCAGTACTTAAGAGTCTCTCATGGTTTGCCTCCCTCCCTCCCCCAGGGCCCTCTGTTAAGTTTCTCCTGTTCCACATATGAGTGAAATCATGGTATCTGTCCTCCTCTGCCTGAGAGTGTCCGACTTTACATAGTGACACAGAGTTAAAGAATTGAACCAATTAAAAAAACACAAGCCCGATTTGAACATGAAAAAAACCAACAGGGCATTTGTGATTATTACGAAGAGAGGCTAACTACCAAAATAATGACTTCTCATTCGGATTAAATGTTGATGGGGTCACAGTGCCTGCATACTGGGTATTTCTGTCCCATACTACACTCAGATGGGTGCCCGGCTTGGTGCTGTGAATGCAGGCTGGCCAAGGCAGGGGCTCCTGGGTGGCCCAGCCAGTTAAGCGTCAGACTTTGGCACAGGTCCTGATCTCACGGTTTGGGAGTTTGAGCCCCGCGTCGGGCTCTGTGCTGACAGCTCAGAGCCTGGAGCCTGTTTCAGATTCTGTGTGTGTGTCTCTCTCTCCCTGACCCCCCCCCACTTGTGATCTCTCTCTCTCTCTCTCTTTCTCTCTCTCTCTCAAAAATAAATAAACATGAAAGAAAGAAAGAAAGAAAGAAAGAAAGAAAGAAAGAAAGAAAGAAAGAAAGAGAAAGAAAGAAAGAAAAGAAAGAAAGAAAGAAAGAAAGAAAGAAAGAAAGAAAGAAAGAAAGAAAGAAAGAAAGAAAGAAAGAAAGAAAGAGAAAGAAAGAAAGAAAAGAAAGAAAGAAAGAAAGAAAGAAAGAAAGAAAGAAAGAAAGAAAGAAAGAAAGAAAGAAAGAGAAAGAAAGAAAGGAAGAAAGAAAGAAAAAGAAAGTTGGCCAAGACACAGTCCCCGTGGGCCCCCTGCCCTTTCTAAGCTCAGACTCGGGCTACCAAGAATGAAGCTTACATCACACCTCCCGGGCTCTGGCGCTGTCCCGGAAAGCTCACGCTCTGCACAGATTGCACACGAAGAGCGAATGGTCACCGAGGTCCTCATGTGGGTCTCTCTCTCTCTCTCTGTAGGTCTCAGCCACAACATGTCTTCCAACCTGAAGTTCACCAAGGAATTGGTCACTTTCATAGGCAAGTCACTGATTGCTCTTCTGGAGACCCTGATTTTCACCTTCATCCCCAGACCGCGGAAGAACGTGGCTGGGGAAATTGTGCTCATCACTGGGGCCGGGAGCGGAATCGGAAGGCTCTTGGCCCTCAGATTTGCCCGCCTGGGGTCGGTGCTGGTTCTCTGGGACATCAACAAGCAAGGGAATGAGGAGACACTCAGGATGGCTCGGGAAGCCGGAGCCGTGAGAGTCTATGCCTACACCTGCGACTGCAGCCGAAGGGAAGAAATATACAGAGTGGGCGAGCAGGTAGATCTTTGCGTCTCTCTCCTGTGGGTAGGAAGCGCTCGGCACAAATACACTCAGGCGCCTCCGTTTCTTTGTCTCTACCCCTTGCTCAGTGCAGCTTTGCCTTTAATTTAAGAAGTTTTGGGGAGTGGGAAGTAGGACTTTTGAGTGGCCGCCGCGTACGATATACCAGACTAAGCGCCCCGTCTATATTCTATAGTAATCTTACAAAGTGAGGCGCATTATCACCTTCATTTCACAAATAAGGAAACCGAGGCTGAGGGAGGTGAGTAGTTCACGGAAGAAAGTAGCAAAGATCGAGCTTGGCCTTGAGCGTGCGCACCAGGCAGTACCGGCTATGCTGGCGTCTGTTGCGGTGTAAGAGGTAGGGGCGGCCCCTTCTTGAAGGGAAGAGGGGGTGCAGATGTGTTGAAAATCTGCCCAGGGTCCCAGGGCTAGCACGTGAGTGACTGAGCCAGGACGGGAACCCGTTTCCGGTCAGGGTTTAGGTCCAGCTGTCTCCACCACACCGCAGTGCCTCCCATTTGAATGAATATTTCTCTTAAATAGTCGTGAGAAAAACAGGGTCCCAGAGACTCTGAACCACGGTTGTTCCCTTGGTGATGGAACAAACTTCTTTCTTGCCCGCGTAAAGAAGGTGGGCAGGACATCACACCTCCAACATGCGGTGGTAAGGGCTTCCTGAGCCCGTTGGGGCTCATCCTCGCGTGGTGGCTGCCTCGTCCCCCCCCACTCCGAGGATTTCTCTCCCCTCACATCGGCATGAGCACCCCACGCCTCACTCTCCTGGGCTCCTGGTGTGGCAACCTCCAGAATCCCCCACCTTAGTGAAAAGGAAGGAGCTGCCACATTGGAATGTTCTGGCACAATTTCCAGGCCCTGCGTCAAATCCCCTTGCTACTTCCCACCTCACTTCCTACTGGTAAGGTCGTCAGGTCACTGGCAGGTGAGTGTGCAGCCACTGTCGTCTGCAGTCTCCATCACAGGGGGCCCCGGGACAGTCCGCAGACCCAAACCTGATGAGCTAGCACCTCCCTCAGAGCGCCGGTGTGGCTCTGCTGCTGCTGAGCTCACGGGTTCGTCTCTGTGTGCTTAAAGCACTGAGTGCCAGCACGTTCACTCATGCTGGCCACAAACAACGCAAACAACTTCTCTCAGCAGTCTTAGTGTTTATTTCTGAGAGAGAGAGAGAGAGAGAGAGAGAGCGCAAGGGAGGAGCAGAGAGAGAGGGAGACACAGAATCCGAAGCAGGCTCCAGGCTCTGAGCTGTCAGCACAGAGCCATACGTGGGGATCAAACCCACATACCGTGAGATCATGACCTGGGCCGAAGTCGGATGCTTCACCGACTGAGCCAACCAGGCGCCCCTTCTCTCGGGACTCTTAAGCAATAATTGGTTCATATTCAAATGCTAAAGACCTTCCCATATTGAGCAAGCTAGTATGAGGCACTCCATAAATAAATAATTCCCTCTTCCCCATATCTGTGATTTAATTCTGGCCAAGATGCTTAGCTCGGAAATGGTCAGACATCGCCTATGATCAAGGTATTATTCAGCTTTTCTTACTGATGGGGCTTGAAAAGAATGAATTATATGCTCTCCTGAATTCAGGGGAAGCAAATTGCCCTCAATTCATAAACCAACTGTGTGCACTTCTTATTCTGGATGGAGGAAAGGTAGCAGAGGATTTTTTTTTTCCTAAGTATTCCAGATGGCAGTGATCAAGGTGGAAGATTCTTAGAGTGGTATGACACTGTGTCATCTCCACATACCCCAGTAACTTTGAAAGTGTGTGTCCCCAGATCATAATTTAGCCCTAGGTTCAGAAAGCCTCGCCTTGCCACTTGGCATGCTAGGTAAGTGGTTGTTTTGAATACTAAACCCAAGACCAGACCAGAGCTCGGTTGTCCCTTACCTGCGATATGTCATGTGGCAGTGTCCTGACTACATTTAACTACTGATCTCATAGACAAGCCAAATCAGAATCAGTTTGACTTGGCATACCTCCAAGGGACCGGATTGGTTCAACAGCAAAAAAAAAAAAAAAAAAAAAGACAAACAAAACAAAACAAAACAAAAAAACCCAAAAACACACACACAAAAAACAGCTTTATTTGTGGCATCTATGAGAACTCCTTAAGGCTTATTACTGACTTCTGATGTTCAAGGTCAAATGTCAGGATGATTTCATCTTTTAAATCACACGGTCACTGGGAGAAGCAGACCTTTCTCTATTGCCCACCCACACTAATAAGCAGGGGTTGGGAAGTTCAAATCAGACATCTTGTACAGTTTAAAGCCAAGGGCGCCTGGGTGGCTCAGTCAGTTAAGCGTCCAACTTCAGCTCAAGTCATGATCTCACGGTTCGTGGGTTTGAGCCCCGCGTTGGGCTCTGTGCTGACAGCTAGCTCAGAGCCTGGAGCCTGCTTCAGATTCTGTGTCTCCCTCTCCCTCTCCTCCCTCCTCATGCTATCTCTCTCTCTCTCAGAAATACATAAAAAACATTTTTTAAATAAATAAAAATAAAGTTAGCCGCCGACGTGCATGGCCTTCCTGCTTTTCTCATAGCGTGGCTGTTGGTGGAGAAATCTGGGGCAGGCAGGTGCAACTTGTGTGGGATGTCACCAGACCTGTCACCCAGGGTCTGTTGCCCCGTTCTTACCATGAGGAGCACGGTGAATCCATAAGAAAACTGGTGAAAAACTAGAGTCTGTGGCATTTCCCTTAGATGCTACCCTGTGTCGCTTGTAAAAAACAACAAGCTACTAACAAGCCCACCCTCACTCCGTGGGTGAGCATTTTATTATGCTATCATTGGTCAGTAACGGTTACATATGTTAAGTCACGTGCAGTTAAACCTGATAGCTTTTGCTCTACTGAGGCGCGTGCTAAATACCCGCGATGCCTTTCCAAGCTCAACTTAAAGGGAGAAAGCAGACTGTGGAACAAGAGAATCCTTTAAAAAAGAAAAGATAAAGATCAACCTATATGCGAAATAGATGCATCAATAGGAAAGAGTGTTCACATGGAGAATCTTATCACACATGCTTAGCCCTGTACATTTAAAGTCTGATTCATAGAGCTATCATTTTCATATACTGCAAAGATACAAGCCTAGATGCCATTTTTTTTTTAAACATTCATTTATTTTTGAGAGACAGAGCACAAGTGGGGAAGGGCAGAGAGAGAAGGAGACACACAATTTGAAACAGGCTCCAGGTTCTGAGCTGTCAGCACCGAGCCTGACGCGGGGCTCGAACTCAGGTCATGACCTGAGCCGAAGTAGGAGGCTCAAATGACTGAGCCCCTCAGGCGCCCTCAGATACCATTTTGAAATTAAAGTCTGATGTTTGTTTTGTCAGGTATTTGATAACATGCCTTATTCTCATGAGTGGCAACGGTGACTATCCACGCACCTGTTTGTTTCCCTCAGATGTCACTTCTAGCTCCGCTCTCCCCGACTCTGAGCCTCTAACGCTAGTCGCGTCTTCCGGCCCACGGCCCCGCCCCGCTTTCCCGTTTTGCAGTCCCGTCTTCCGGTCCACGGCCCCGCCCCGCTTTCCCGTTTTGCTTTGCTTTGCTTTATTTGAGCGTAGCTGACAGGCGGTGCCGCGTTGGCTCAGGCGTCGGGGCTGGTGGCCGAGTGCCGCACGCGCGATGCCGAGCCCGCCACAGGCGTGGGGCCACCGAGCCGCGCTACCACGTGCCGCGGGCCACCTTCCTCGTGCTGTGGCTCTTAGTCCTGTGGCGGGTTCGCTCCGTACCTGGAAGCCTGTACCTGCCTCGGGCTCCGGTGGGGCGACTTGTCGCTGCTCCTGCCTGCCTTCAGCTTGGATGGGACGGCGTATTGTAGCTGCTCTCCAAAGGAAACTTTTAAGTCCCACTGTTTTGAGTGCTTTTATCTGAAAAGTCTGCCACCAAGGGTGAGGTTTGCTTAGTCTGTATTTCATCTGAGGTTTTTCCCTCAGCTACCCGTCTGCTTGGCTAACAAGCAAATACCCAGCACATCAGCCTCGTTGCAAGGACCCAGGCCTTCCACAACCTCAGATGAGAGAGGTGACGGCTTCCACCTGGTGTCACTAATGTGTCCCCCGCTGTGCGATTGCACCAGCCATACAGGCAGGTGCACACACGCACAGCACACACACACACGCACGCATGCACACACACAGCTAGAGATGTAACAGACTGCACCAGCCATTCAAGCAGGTGCACACACACCCACACTCCCAGATAGAGATGTAGGGAGTCATCTCTACATCTTCCTGTTATGCAAAGGGCACCTGCAGCTGGCGGTTCTCTGTGATCTGGGGACAGAGCCCCTACTGTGTGCTACAATTACAGCAACGAACTTCAGAACACAGAAGGGGGCAGGGGGCCCCTCCATCTCCCATCGCCAGTCCTGAAAAATCCCGTGCTCACTTCTGCTGAGATGCTCAGCTCACTTGAGGTGAGATGACACGCTGACGATTTCCTGTAAGCGAAAGGTCCCAAGGTCACACCCAGAAAATTTATTTCTGAAAGAAATGTTACCGAGTACCTATTCTGGCCCGTGTTAGAGCAGCCGGTCTTAACGCCTAGAAGCCTGTGTCAGAGACAGGAAAAACCAGCCCATTCGCACAAGCAGGACGGACAGGTTCTGCACTGTGCCATGGGTGTGAAACACATTTGGGAATTTTGTACCTGCTCCAACCCGTCTCAGTGTGCACTCAGTCTTAATTTAGATGTCACGGCTGTAATGTCTTAGGTCCTCTCACAATGAGGGAAATAACCTAGCGGCCTGCAACGGAGTGACTGATCGCTAAGTATAAGAATAGCTCTAACTGCTAGCCCTGCAGTGTGGGACTGTCCTAGGAAGCGGGTGGGGGGTGAGAAATGAGAAGGAAAGCAGAGACTTGGATCGCTGGTGCTCTGCAAACACAGCAAAGGAAATAAAACCTGCTTTGTTTGCAGAGGACGTAAACCCCGTCTGTGGTAACAAGGATAAGAAGCATGTAAATAGTATGGGAAAATCAAACTCAGATCGTGTAAGTAATGACTCTGTTGGGGGTGTTGCTTTCGTTACCTGATTCAGGTTAAAAAAGAAGTTGGCGATGTCTCCATCCTTATCAACAATGCCGGAGTCGTGACAGGCAACGATTTCCTCAACTGCCCGGATGAGCTGATAGAAAAGTCTTTAGATGTGAATTTCAAAGCACACTTATGGGTAATTATTTTTTCCTCTCGTAACGGATATACAGTTACTCGGAATTTGGAAGTACTTCCTCCTGGTCTCTTACTGTTGTATTCACCTGTTCGTAAAGCACCGACTTCTCAGTTTCAGACTTGTCCGGAGTCATACTCTCCTGATCCAACTTAACTTGTACTTGCCTGAACTCAGGAGTCTGGCCAAGACACAACTTTGCCCATGGTTTTACTATCTTGATCACCAGCCTCCTAGGAGATGCTAGGTGCTCTCCTAGGCACCTCCTATGTAATCCTTGATACAGCTCAATGAAATAAGGGATCAGAGGATTTAAAAGATCTGCTCAAGGTGACACAGAAATGACAGCCCGTAGATGACCATAGTAGCCTTATCATTTGCCTATGTTGGAACTCTTTTGAAAGTGGAAGAGCTAAAAAAAAAAAAAAGTAGGTAACAATAAAAATAAGGTGGAAGAGGGCATTATTATTAAACTGGCATTAATTCGGTCTATTTTGGGCAAACCAAGATGTATCATCACCTGACTCAGTATCTAATCAGGAAAAAGAAAGTTTCTTCCTGTAGCCTCAGTGACATCTAAAGGCACAGGACAGGGGCACCTGGGTGGCATGGCCGGTTAAGCATCTGACTTCAGCCCAGGTCACCATCTCGCTGTTCCCGAGTTCAGACCCTGTGTTGGGCTCTGTGCTGACAGCTCAGAGCCTGGAGCCTGTTTCAGATTCTCCCTCTCTCTCCCTCCCTCTTTCTCTCCCTCTTTCTCCCTCTCTCTCTCTCTCCCTTGCCCCTCAAAAATAAATAGATAAACATTTAAAAAAATTAAAACAGGGCACAGGACAGGTACCATGGACATTAAGGGGCACAGCTTCTGATCTCCAAAGGTGACGTGCCTCCTTGGAGATGTTGCATTTTCCTGGCCTTCGCCGAAGCCTGTGTTGCCGTGCCTCCCCACCCCCACACTTGCCCTGGCTTGCCTCTCCCTGCTCCTGTTGCCCTGAGCAGCCTCTCTGCTGGGAGGGAGTATTTGCTGGAGACTTCTGAGCTCCCCTCCATTCTCCTCACACTTTCCCACCCGACTTGCCACCCACCTCCCACTTGGTGGCCTTCAAATGTTATTTGGACTTTGTAGGTTTCTGTCCCCTCGTTTCACCAAAAGCACCCTTGCGTGGTGGTATTTTTGGCATTCTGTATCATCTCCAGAAGAAAGGTGGAAAGATTCAGAACTAAGTGGCCGCCATGTTTCTTCAGGAGCTACTGCAAGTGATTTATGTTGTTTGGTCTCAACAAATGTCCCTCCCCTTCTTTAGAATGAAATTAGATTATTTGGCCAGAATGAAGTTACAGCCATAATCTCATGTTGGGTTCTTTTTCCTCCGTTCTGTTGTCCTTGTTCTCTTCATTCTCTCTCTCTCTTCTTCTAGTTGTCTCCAAAACGCTGGTGTTTCCCCGCCCCCCATTATCCTCTGGACACTCTTTCTGGGCAAGTCCACATATGTTCTTTGAGCCTCTGCAGGGAGTGGGCACTTAATTGCTAGAGGTCAGAGGGCTCATGTGACCATGCTCCCAAGGGATGCATCCCCAAGAAGAAGTAAAGTGACTCGCCTCAGACCATCAGAACTCGGGGGGCTTTTTATTATGCTCCACTGTTTGCTCATTTTGATTTTCCACATCTCTCTACATGTTAGTTCCTCTCTGAAGCTCACTGTGATGCATGCAAAGGTTCTTTGACTTTTATGAGAAATCCCTTTTCGCATATTTATTCCTATTATTCACATCTGAAAATAAATATGAAATATAAATCCATGTAAATATGCAATTATTCCTGCTTAATGAATCTTCTATCAAAGCTCATTTCTCTCTCCTTTACCTTCTTTTTTTCCAGGTCTCATATCAAAAGTGAAGGTGTCCTATAATACTGAGACACGGCATATGTATTCTTTTCCTAACACATTAATGACATGGAATACAAATAAGAAACTATTATTCAAAGAAGGAGAGATGAATTGCAAAGCAAAGTGATATTTTTATTTATTTTTCTAAGTTTATTTGATTTAAGAGAGAGAGCACGCATACACACACTCAGACACACCCGTGTGTGAGCAGGGAGGGGCAGAGAGAGAGGATCCCAAGCAGGCTCCATTCTATCAGCACAGAGCCTGACTTGGGGCTCGATCCCATGAGTCGTGAGATCACAACCTGAGCCAATATCACTTAACCAACTGAACCACCCAGGTGCCCCCAAGTGATATTTTTAAACCGAAGCCAACAGCAGTGTGCCTTATGAACAATGTTCAGAAACATTTAAAATTCAAACGTGACTTGAAGGGGGAAGAAAAGGTAATATCAAGCTAAAGAGTCACATCTCCAAATACTCTTACTGGTTTGTGGATTGTGCCCACCATGGTTAAGATTTTCCTGTTCTGCCTCAGTTACTGTCTAAATAGTGTGTTTTTAGAAGTCAGGAACAAAATGTAGTCTGAATCAATTAGTTTTAATAATATTAGAACTGCCGTCAAAAAAATATTGAGTTAAAGGTTAGACAAGTTGAGAAGCTTACTTTGCAGATGTTTAAAGTTTCAGATCCCAGTGCTTTCCAGTGTTTTTATGAACTTAAAAGACTTTTTTCATCATATAGAAACATCTGAAAAAAAAAGTACAAAAGGTTAACAGTTCTTCTCTTCCTTTCTCAGACTTATAAATGTTTCCTGCCTGCCATGATAGCCAATGATCATGGCCATTTGGTTTGCATTTCAAGTTCAGCTGGATTAGCTGGGATAAATAAACTGTCAGGTAAGAGAAATGTAATACTTAGCACTTGCAAACTCGTTCATGACTTTGTCTCACTTAGCTCTGAATAATCAACATTGACCTCGTGCACTAATGATAAAGGGTCATAAATCAAGAGACACATTCCACAACGTAAGTGGTGGGGAACGCTGTGCCACAGAACCACCCATCAGATATGCTTACACAAAGTTGAACTACGCACTTTGGAGTCATTGGGTCTATGCAATCCCCTGGGATGAAAAAAAGAGAGAGAAAGAGGGGCGCCTGGGTGACTCAGTCGGTGAAGCATCCGACTCTTGATTTCAACTCAGGTCATGATCTCATAGTTCATGAGACCCAGCCCTGGGTTGGGCTCTGTGCTGATAGCATTGAGCCTGCTTGAGGTTCCCTCTCCCTCTCTCTCTCTCTCTCTGCCCCCCTCCCCCCCAGCTTGTGATCTCTCTCTCTCAAAATAAACATTTAAAAAAAGAGAGACAGAAAGAGAGACAGCTGACTGGTAAACAAGTTGTTAGTGTAGTCACCGTCACCCCGAATTCCCCTGGTACTGTTATCAGGTTGGTGAGGAGGAACTCTCTGCCTTCTGAAGTTTCCATCAAGTGGTCCCCAGTTCTCAGCTCTATGAACGGGTTTTCAGAACCACTCGTCACCCCAAGCGCTCCCTGTCTAGAGTGCTCCCTGTACGCAGGACTTCCCTTCCTCCAGCCACATTTTATGATTACCTCACGGGTCTTTGAGCTTACACGGGGCTATTTGTAGCTCTGTGAATCCTTTCCCTGGCACAATATCTCTGTCTTAAGTTACAAGACACCCCCGCGCCCTGTTTGCCTTAGAAACATGTGTGAGATTTCTGTAATTGCCACCGTGTGGCAGAATCACCGGGCGTGCTGTTTAGAATGCAGAGTCCTGGGCCATTTCTGCTCATCTGAACCTCAGAGATCGAGGGGCTCAGTGAACCAACTGCATTTATACCAAATGACTCAGGATTTTGGCAGCTGCTCAGGACTCCTCCTCCACCCCTCACTCTCTCCGCCGTCTAACCCGCCACAATCTAGGGACCTGACTCTTGCTGGTCGTGATAGGGGCTGTCCCACCAGAACAAGGATGAACATGCTTGCCTCTTCTGATCTCATGAGCAAAAGGGAAGTCAGAGTCTACCGACATGACTTTTCTTCTCCAAACGTTCCCATTCCTCGAGTTCAGTATCCAGGTGTCTACTTGAAGTAAGTGTGATTATACACAGAGAGCTCAAAAGGGACATAAATTCTGCTTCCCGTTCGCCCTGCGTTTCCAAGATGCCGAAGAGATGGAGATTGATGGTCTCAAGTCTGTTTTCCTCCAGGAATGGGAGAAAGAGTCATAGTTAGGAAAAAACTTGATCTGAGTATCACGACCCACGTTGATCTCTTCAGCTTGGACTCTACACCCTTATTGTTTTATGTATTCTTTTGTGCGTCTCCCTACCCTGATGGGGTTGGAATTCTTTGGGACAGGGACTCGATGCACATGCTGTGCCCTGTGTAACAGCTCGGAAAGGGTGTGACCCCCGGCAAGGTGGAAGTGGAAGTGAAGTCCAGCAGTGGGACTCGCAGGAGGCACCCCCAAGCCCTGCTTGGGGTGTTCCTTCCCACTTGCTCCTCACTTCCTCCAGTGGGCACAGACCAAGACTGTGCAAAGTAACTCTGAAATTGTTGTCCCGTCCTCTGCTGGCATTCTTGTTATGAGGACACTTTGATGGATTGCCACTTAAAAACTCTAGTGTTGTTTGTCTTTTTCAGATTACTGCGCAAGTAAATTTGCAGCCATTGGACTTGCTGAATCTGTATATATGGAATCAATAGCCCAGAAACTAAAGGGGATCAAAATGACTATTGTGTGCCCATTTTTTATAAACACTGGGATGTTTGAAGGTTGTTCTACTAAGTAAGTATGTCCTTTGATTTTAAAAAGAAAAGAAAAGAAACCTACATTTTAGGGGCCCGTGGGTGGCTCAGTCTCTTGATCGTCTGACTTTGACTCAGGTCATGCTCTCACAGTTTGTGGGCTCGGGCCCCGCATCGGGGTCTGTGCTGACAGCTCAGAGCCTGGAGCCTGCTTTGGATGCCATGTCTCCCTCTTTCTCTCCCCCTCCCCTGTTTGTGCTCTGTCTCTCTCTCTCTCTCTCTCTCTCTCAAAAATAAACATTAAAAATTTCTTAAAAACGAAACTACGTTTTTAAAAATGATTGGCCACCTATTATATTTTATTCTATTTTTTAATGTTGTGTAAAAACGTTTTGAGATTCAATCCAATTTTTATCATTGGCTTCAGAATCTTTTCTTTCTTCAAGTGTGCTTGTGTTTAAGATCCTGAATTTAACGTGGATGATTTATCAAGGCTGGGGCCAGCACCTACCATGCCCAGAACTAGACCTGCTCCCCCCCTTACTCTCTGTCTGCCACCAAACTCCATCCTGCCCCCCTTCCCTGACTCCATGGAAAGACTGAGAATCACTGATGGGGCACAAATGCCCAAGTCTGCATCTCACGGAGCTGACAGGCAGCTGTTTCATATGGTTTCACATACACGCATATTGTGGCAGGAGTATATTTATTAAAATTCCCATTGCCATTTCAAATTAAAGTTGTTATTACCATGCTGATAATACAGGAGGACATCGAGAAATAGATCCAATCTGGAAGGGAAAGAAGCAAAAAAGTAATAATGTCTTATAATCTTTTTTATCACTACTTTCTGAGATGTATTTTTATTAATTTGTTAACGTGGGTTTATTTGTTTGTTTCATTCCCTAGCCGTCCTGTTCTGTTACCGATTCTAGAACCAGAATATGTGGTTGCAAAGATAGTAGATGCTATCTTGCAAGAGAAAGTGTACCTATATGTGCCAAGGATTATATACCTCCTAATGGTTCTTAAAAGGTAATAATATCACCTTCCTATTGCTTCTCTAATGAGCCAGTCAGCAATTTACTTCCCTACCAGGAGAAGCCACTGAAAACCTATCTGTTAAATGCACGAATGTTGAGCCCTTTATCGTGCCTGTTTCCTGACAAGACCTCAAAGTCGCATCATTACAGTACTTCCCATGAGTCTGGAAAATGGAGTCGAAATATTCCCGCCATCTTGGTATTGCAGTATTGTCAAAAAGAAGTGGATTTCCTGAATGATCTGTGGACAGACTGAAGGGATTTGTTTTCTTAAGAGAGATGGTCTTTTCCTTTTGGGCATCATAGAATAATCATGTTGGGACAGATACTGTGTCCTTGGCTCCTGAGTACAGAGTCCCAAGGTTAAGGCCGGACAGTAAGCCAAACATTTCAGGAATCCGTGGTCTGGGGGAAGCTGACAATTGGAGGATGAATTTGTAGTATAAGGTGGTTAAAAAAAAAAAATTGGGGAGGAAACCTGAGAAGGTAATGACCTCTCTCGGAAGCACAAGACAGCATCTTTGCTTTTCCTCTCTGCTCCCCATTGGGTTTCAGTGCTGAGACCCGTCAGCAGCAGTTTGTGGACAAGAGGCCCAGTTACCGGAATCGTGATGCCGTGTTGCTGCATCAACTGCCGATTCCCATTATCTCAGTTCATTTTCTGGACTGTCAGGTCGTCTAATTATACTGCCCACCCCACCCCACCCCACCCCGTCCCCGGGAAGGAAGCATATTCCATCATTGAACCACTCCCTTCTATGGCATCAAAATCCGTGTTGTTTTAATGTTCCCTGAGTCTAGCTTTGCCATCTAGCACGAAGAGTGATTTCATTCCTCCTGACAGCAGTCCTTCATTAGATGAACGTAGATATTATGGCTAGCAGCACACACTGATATCATTCCTACATCCTTTTGCTTGCCGGGCCTCACCTAGCACAAGAGTGATACTGTGCTTACGCTAGTTAGTGTCCTCCCCGAGCTCTGCGGTATGAATGTCATGGCTGACAGGGTCTGTGTTCTGTCTGCTAGGAAGGGGGAGCAGGGATGGAAAAGATGAGCAGTCCTAAGTCGGGTATTGCCAGAGTTCTGGGGACCTAGTGCATCTAATCCTCACAGGAGTCCCAGAGAGAAAGATTGGTGACTGGTGACACAGCTGGAGAAACAGCCTCAAGGGCTCAGTAACGTGCCTGAGCTGGCATTATAAGGGACAGAGCCGGGATTCAAGGCCGGCTCGTCCAACTTCAGAAGACTCTCACTGCTTCCCAGCGATCCTTACATAGTTCAGTGGAGCTTTGGAAACTGACATGAGGAGCGAGGCAAGTAAGTGTAAATAAGGCAAGAAGAGGTATAGAGACTCCGGGCAAGCGTCCCCCCACATAGGTGACAAGCCCTGGGTGACCCTGAAGCATGCACACTAATGTGTGCCTATGCCAGTGGCTTCACTGGCAACGAGTCAGTGACACTGCGTGTCAACTGAATTGGCAAAGGTGCTTTCACGGTAATAACCAACAAAACTTCTCTTGTGTTCTCTTTAGCATCTTTCCTACCAAGATGGCCATCCTTCTGGCTGACTTTATGGGCATCTTTAATTTAATGGATGGCTTCGTTTGCAAGAACAAGAAAAACTAAAGGCCGATCCACAGCTGACACCATCTGACACCCAGTGTTTCATAATGCTCATTTCAATGATGAAAAGCATTTTTGTCCAATAGCATAGATCTGGAAACTACAGGTTCCAGTCCTTTTCTGCTATCTAAACCAGTATTTTCAACTGATCCTTTGAAAATAATGTTGCTATCTGCTTTTTGGCTAGGTTTTTTTTTTTTTAATAAAAAAGAAATAGGCCATTTTTTTTCTGTCTGCTTGCAACAGATGTGTAAGAAAAAGAATCCTCTCTCTCATGAACTGCCCTCCACCTTGGCCATTGGGGGAGTTGGCTCAAATGGAGCAGGTGGCTTTGCTTGAAGCCGTGGCTGGGAACTGGAAGGAGAGGAGAGGAGCTGAGTGAATACAGCAAAAGCTTGGATTGCAAGTAACTTGCTCTGCAAGTGTTCCGCAAGATGAGCAAACACTTTTAATAAGGTTCAACCAGATAAATGAGCAATGTCTTGTGATACGAGTAGTTCGTGATGCCGAACGTCACATGATCACAACTGAGCCAATGGTTCTTGAAATTCGCTTTGATGTGCAAGTGCTTTGGATTACAAGCATGTTTCCGGAACAAATTATCCTTGCAAACCAAGGTTTTACTGTATTTTGCTAGAATGCCCACTTTATGGAGGACACGGGGCTCTGGATTCCTTATCACCACGCTCTCAGCCTTGGCCTCTCTGAACCCATGCCACCCAGTATAGGACAGGCCAGCCTCCCGTGTCCTTCCCGAAGCAGTCGCACAAATGCTTACTACTCCATGCCCTGCGTACTCACAGACTGAGTGCCAGTGCTGCTGAGTGTGCGTCAGGTGCCTCTGTGTCAGGAAGCCTTCCTGCACGTTCCCCAAATGAACTTAGTAGACAGTGATTCTAGACCAAAGTCTACACAGGAGCACATTTTCTTCCTAGAAGAGATCAAAGAATGGTGCTTCTGACTCTGAAAATGACATTTCTACTGAGCTAGATTAATACTGCCTGTTAGTCCAGAAAGCATACCCGTGTGGTTAATTTAGTACTGTGGGTTGGGATTCGTGTTGCATTTTTCCACACAATGGACAGTTTTATGCACTGGTATTCATCGATGCCGCCTTCATGTCAGATCTGTAGTATTCTTACAGCTTAATGATGTGGCCAACTGTTTTCATGATTTGGATATTAACTATAAAAGCGAGGTTAAGAAAAATGTGTTAATGACCATGTCCCTGGAACTCCTTCCCAGGCTGGGAGGGGCACCTGCCTCGGGAGAAAACGGCAGCCTTTGTCTCTTACCTTCTTTTGTGTGGGGAGCAGGAAAGGATGGGAAGAGTTTGGAAGATGCTGTGGGAGTCAAAATAAACAAGTCATGAACATCTAGGGATAAGATGCTCTTAGAAAGGCAGCAGCCTTAGGGAATGTGGGATCTAAAGTCCACTGTGGACTGATTTATCTCAAGCTGCCTGCATAATTCTGACAGCTCTGCCCCTGTATTTCTGCTTCATTCAGAAAGGCTTAAAAAAAAGAGGGGGGAGGAAAAAGCCCTTGTTTTATAATAACACAAGCAATAGCTAAGATTTTACTGTGCCTGACACAAAGCTATGCACTTTACACACGTTATTTCGCCAAACGAGCATGCCACACCGTTACTGAAAAGAATAATAAAGGTATTTGGTGTCTGCCAAAGAATTAGAGGCATTTTATTTCACAAGAGTGATATCCTACTCAACTGCAGATGTGTACGGAGAGACTCAAAAGGCCCTCTTAGCCTAACCAGCTAATGTTCCAAATCCTTGGTTAACAAGGTTAATTAAGAGAGAGGCATAATATTGCTCCTATATTACAATTCTAAAAGCGTCTATTCTAGGGGCCTGTCTATTTAGCTGAAGAATAAAGAAGAGACTCAAGGGATTTCGGGGAACAAAGGTCTGGGGTGAAGTGGACAGCCACCACATCGTAACAGCATTAACAGCAATTATTTCTAATTGGAATGCATCTTGGCTGGACCGCTACAAAGGCCTGAAATTCAACTGTGGTTTTACAGTACCCATAAAATTGTCTAAACAAATTCAGATCTACCTGAAGAGCTCCTGTGAGAAGAGAACACATGTAAATTAGAGGGTTCTAGAGGGTGGTGGACAACAAGGGGACTTGATACAGCAGGCAGCCAGTGTGCCCTTGGCCCGGGGTTTCCTACCAGATTCCGTTTGAAATGGAGTCCTAACAAATCCATGGTCAAGAGCCCGACATTAGCAAAGACTTGAGAAAAGGAAGGGCTCGAGGATAAGAGCTGTACCCCAGGACTGGGCACTGTGCCCCCCCCCCCAGGAGGGCATCCCCCACCATCCCACAGTCCCTGGGCTGCTCAAGGACTAAGAACTCTTGGTATTTGGTGTTTGGCCAGGGGTGTGACCATGTCCTTTTTATTTTTTTTTTCCCGGTCACTTGGTGACGCTGCATCAGTCAGCTCGGGCTACCACACAAAATGCCACAGATTGGGTGGCTTCGACCATGGAAATTCATTCTCTCACGCTTTTCGAGGCTGGGAAGTCCAAAGTCAGGACACCAGCTAATATTGTTTCCGGTGAGAACTGTCTTCCTCGCTTGCAGACCACCTCTTCTCACGGGGTCTTCGCACAGCCCTTCCTCCGTGTGCGGGCACAGAGAGAGAAGCCTCACTCTTCCTCTCCCTATAAGGCTACTCACTCACTACTCCTGTCACCGGGGCCCCAGTGCGCGACAGGAGCTATCCTTCATTGCCCCGCCGCCAAGGCTCCATCTCCAAACACCACCACGCTGCGGGTTTCGGGCTTCGATACATGAGTTCAGAGAGAGGAAGAAAAAAGTCCATGCAGATGCCAAGCTAGAAAAGGAAATCCAGGCCATAAGTGATCTCTATGCTCCTCCGTGTCCTAATGCTGAGGGGGAGTCACGGTTTGTCAAATGAAACCAGTTAGAATCTTGGAGGTAGGGTGAATTGGAGATACTTGAAAAACCAAACCAAGCCAATCCCAAGCTCTGAGAGTCAGCACTCGAGAGAGAAATGTGGCCAAGAATTTGGGCCAGCCAACAAAAACCCATGTGATGCGAGACCTTCATTTCCAGGATAGTGGCCTGTTTGGGGGTTATCCAAGCACCCCCGGCGCCTCCCCCGCCACGAGCTGTTAAATAGTGCCCCTTTGCCGTCAGTGAGCAGGCCACAGCTGGGCCACTGAGGAGAGTCCTGGTTGTGGCCCTGATTCCTACTTTTCCCTCTCTTACGTTTGCTGTCAGGTGGAAACCAAACCAGTAGTAATGAGTTCACCGGTCATTGTTGCTCAGCCCTTGGGGAGGCCGCCTGGAGGGTGGTAACAGCGGAGGGCTCCCGTCCCCTCACCGTGCAGTGCTGAGCACCCAGACCCCCTTCCTGTGGGCCAGCACTAGCCAAGGCAGCGGTGGCAGAGGTAAGGCTCCTCAGCTCCGCATCCTCGGGTACTTCTTCAAGGCCCGGGCTTCACTGCATCGCCTCACATTGTCTAGCCTTGATTCCACCTGCGGCCTCTGTTCGCAGCCAAGTAGACCTGCCCCCTTGGCTCCTTCTCCTCTCCCCCATGGGGGCCTTTCTGTGCTCCTCTCCCCTCAGGTCCACCACAGCCCCCTCACTCACTCTTCCCCAAGGGTAACCTCTCCTACCTCACCAAGAAAACTGAAGCTGACAAGCACCAACTCCCTCAGCACCCAAACCAATACCTTCTGAGGCATTTCCTTCTGCCTCCACTTCCCTTCTTTTCCTCAGCCTCCGAGGAAGCAGTGAACTGGGTGGGGCTGACCCTGCGGCCCGCGCCCTCCACTCAGAGCTTTCCAGGGGTTTTTAGAGCCACCTCTTGCACACCCTCAACCTCTCCACCAAGAGTTGCTCCCCGCATCCTGTAAGTACACTGAATACCATGCAAAACTTAAAAATAATAAAAGTAAACTTTACAAAAACCCCATCTCACTGTGGCAGCAGCTCCCTCTCCTCTCCATTGGTAGCATCAGTTAAAATGCAGCCCAGGGGAATTTGTCCATCTCCTCTCCTCGCATTGGTTCCTAACCTATCACGCTTCCGCATCCCACAGAGCATGGCGGTTCCTATGAAAAGATCCCTGGAGATTTCACTCCTCATCTTATTTTACGTCTCATGATGATATTACGAACCTCTCTGGCCTGGCTCTTTGTACCGCAAGCCTACTGGCCTCTTCCACTGCCCAGTCTTTAAATTATTAGTTTCCTTCAGTTTCTGCCCTTGGATTCCTCACGGTGTAGATCCCCTGGGGGCTTCGAGGCACGCCCATTGCTCCTCCTCCAGGCTCTGTCTCAGCCGACCGCACCAGAAACCCGGGTGCAATATCCTACTTCCATTGGACTTCATCTCTCACTTGCCCATCCATTAGTAATCAGATCCAGGCTACTCTGCCTCTCCACCGTATCAGCGGTTTTTCCTCTCGGTCCCCAGTGCTACCACCTGAGTTCACGCTCTTACCACTTCCACCCACATCGAGGTCTGCTCACTCTGTTAGTAAGGGTTGCATTCAGCTGGGGTAACTGAAAACCCAAAGTCAGGAGGACTGAAAGAAAGTGGCAGCGTATTTCTCTCTGATATTCAAGGTAGCTGTTCGGGTTAGTAGGGTGCTCCATGTATCAGGGACCCAAGGCTCCTTGGGCGCATTTGCGACGCATGGCTCACAGCCCAAACGTCGTTAATGAGCAGAGTCTACAGTGACCGCTAAAACCTCAGACACTATGCCCCATTTCCAACCTGCAAGCATCCAGAGAAAGCAGAAAGCACCTCTACCTCTTTTAAACAACAATCCACGGACATTGTGCGCCTCACAAAACCACATCCTATTACCCAGACTTAGTCACATGGCTAGACCCACCTGTGAAGGGTGCTGAGTATGGTCCCTATTTTGCACCACTGTGAGCCAGCCAAAGACCAGGGGTTCTATTATTTTTTTAAAAGATAAGAACAGAGATTGTGACATCTTATGGTGTCAACTTAGAGTTTCCCCCATAGTCGACTTCCCCAAATATCAGTGTGCCCTCTTCTAATTAGACAGAACCCACAGACCAGGCCCACCTCAAAGTCCTCCCCAGCCACTGCATGCCTCACAAAGTCTAGAATTTCTGGTGCCAGGCTGCACTCTCAACCAAATCCAGATATGCCTCTGCTTGGCCTGATGACCAAGAAAGTAAAGGAAAAGCC